CAGGATGCTCCTTGGCTCTGGTCATTAAGGATCAGCCCATAGAGGTGAGTTCTCAACTCCAACCATACTGTGTATGATGGGAGTTGGCAAGATTCAGCTGCACTTCACCAAAAGAAATTTAAAGGAGTTTGGATGGAAAAAAGGTCTATTTTTATGTAAGTAGGCAGACCAATTAATGAAGAATGTATTAGAAGTGGTGATTGGAACACAAAGCAATCACTTTTCCAAAGTTCTCCAAAACTAAAACATAACTGAAGTACTGTGCTGTGGTTTTCCATCTTTGGTTTTCAAAAATAGTTCATCTTCTCCATATCTCAACGTGTTCGTGTGCCGAGGCCTCCTGTGGCCCAGAACTGTTTGGGCGTTTGGGTGTAATGACATCGCCTCTACTATCAACAGCTTGCCGTCCTCTGAAATAAATAGAAAACACAGAATCAGAAATGTTCAGGGTCCCTGCTTTTCTCTTTTTAAAACATTTCCAGGCAATCTGAAAGTCATGTAGCTAATAAGTGGGGAAAGAGACTCCATAATCCAATAAAGAAACTGATACTGGACTGTATTAGTTGCTGTGATATAGGAGCTCTTCGACATATCAAGATAATGTCTACCTCTAATGCAGCCGTCAAAGCGATGTTCTTAAAATAGGGATGGAATTGGCATTTGCTTATGTGGTCAACTACAAATTCCTAAGCATGGTTCTCAAGTGTGACCTCATTCTCCACCATTTCCCATTCAAACGCTTGGTATTTCAGACCCAGTGTTTTCCTCAGGACTCATATAAGCTTTCTAAATCATTGCACATGGTGTCTCCTTTGTTATATTTTCTACAAACCTCAAGTAGCATACCAAATCGCCTCCTCTCTGAAGCAGTCTCTGATTTTCCTGGGCAGATTTAGAAATCCCCGTCTCTAATCATTCAGAGCATTGCATAAAACTCCTATCTCTGTCGAGCACTGATTGCATTGCATGGTAGTGGGGTTTTCTGGTCCATCTCCCACACTCTGGGACTGTGAGCACCTTGGGAGGAAGTTTGAAATCTGCTGATTCCTGGGAGGTGGCACCTGGGATCTAACTGAGCCCTCCAGAGATGAGACCTTTATTTCCTGTAATACCTCAGATGTGTTGCTGGACAATACTCATGTTAGAAAGTTCTCTATACTGTGGGTGCCTGGGGGGTTCAGTCAGTTAAGCCACTGACTCTCCATTTCAGCTCAGGTCATGATCTCACAGTCACGAGATCGAGCCCTGCGCCAGGCTCTGAGCTGGAAGCTGGGCAGTGGGCATGAATCCTGCTCAATATTTTCTCCCTCTCCCTCTGCCCCTCCCCCACTCTGTCTCTCTCTCCCTCTCAAAAAAGAAAAAAGAAAGACAGTTCTCTATACTGAGCTGAAACCTGCTTCCTCTCTGTGACTTTATTGAAATGATCCTGATGGCCCTCTGGAGTCACAAGAATAAGTCTACTCCCTTTGGGCCCATGGCCACCCTTCAGTCATTGGAAGGCAGCTGTCACAGGTCCTGGATCCTCTTCTTTGGATTAAGCAGCCTAAACTCCTTCAAGCATCCATCTCAGATCTCAGAAGCTGATCCCTCACTATTCAAATCATCGTACTTGAAACACACCCCAAAAACGTGCACCTATGTCACATTCCCCTGAAAGAGGGGAAGGGGAATTATCTGGAGCAAACAGACCCAGAGAACCATGGCTTCTGTTGAGCTGGGCATTACTTTGCTTCTCTTGATGCCTAAGGACTCAACAATTTCAGTTGTTTTTCAGCTTCAGAATCCTGCTGGCTCAGGTTGTACTTGTGGTCAGTTGCTATTTGAAATATTTCACAATTTAAAATAAGAACACCTTTAAAAAGCCTCTGTCAATCTAAGTCACCCCTTCTTGCATTTAGACAATTCATTTTTTTTAACTCTCAATGGAAATGTCTACCTTTATTCATATCGCTCTCAATCCTGAATTACCACAACCCCCCCAGGCATCACTTCTTAGAGTAGCGACCGCAAGTAATGATCACAGGCTGAGGTATTGAACCAGAATCGCCCTGGTGCACCCGTTTAACCTTTCACTCCCTGCCATCCCCTACATGGCTAGCTGGTAACTGGCCTGGAAATCTACACAGGCTCTCTTCCTTGCCTGCTTCCTTTCCCTTCATGGTAGTGGACACACAACTCAACACAACCCTTATTTTGGGGGGTACCCATGTCTGCAAGTAAGAAATAGCTATCATAACCAGCCTCAACTTGCAAAGCTATCACTGGCCTAGAGAGCCCCTTAGTCCCATCATCGCTGAAGGTACATTATAGATTCTGTACGTGGTGGGTGCTCAGTGTATGCTAAGTGAAGACTGGGTTTAATGTGATGACTCTATCAGAAAAAGGAAGTGAATAACGAATAGTAGAGAAATGAGGCTCCACCAATTAAACCTCAGAGAATGAGACAATTTCTAGTTCAAGAGAACTTGAGGAAAGAGGCTTTAGAGGGAAGATGTGCTGCTTAGTTAAGTAAGGATAACTTGATTTCAAATGTAAAAATGCCAAAATAAGCTGTGTAAGAAAGGATCGTGTTAAGAATTTTAAAAAGGTAAGTGCCTTCTTTGATGTGGTCGGACTCTCCGAGTGAGATAGCAAGCCTAGTGGGGAGAGTATAATGTTTTGAGATGTGTCGCTTCGTTTTGGAAACTTCCAAAGAGAGGTCAACTTTTCCTTACTCCAAGGCCAGATCTTTCAGAGCTCCTTTAGGCAGATCAGGTACACTCACTCCGCCATTGGATGACTGTCATCCAAAGTGCCATTGCCTAGTTGTTGTGAACTGAATCCTCCCTAGATTCATATGCTGAAATCCTGTCCCCCCACAACCCCCCACCACATACACAGTGTGATGTATTAGAAGGTGGAGCCTTTGGGAGGTAATGAAGTCATGAGTGTGGGGCCCTGGATGGGATTCGAACCTTTATAAAAGGACTCAGAGAATGTCTCTGCTCTCCACCATGTGAGGATACAAGGAGAAGTTGGCCATCTGCAAATCAAAGGAAGAAGGCTCTCGCCAGAACCCAACCATAATGGCACCCTTATCTTGTACTTCCAGTCTCCAGAGCTGTGAGAAATAAACTTCTATTGTTTATAAGGCACCCAGTCTATAGTATCATTTGTTAGAGCAGCCAGAATGGAATCAGACAATAGTGCTGACCCTGAAGCTGATAATAAGGCATCGTGCATTTGAGTAGCTTAAGCTACTGTACTCAGCCTTGGAGCTCTTGGAGAATATTGAGAGATTCTTGTCCCTGAGGCACTATCCTCTTACTTGTATTGTTTTAACTATTAGAGGGATATACCAGCCAAAGCTAGAATTAGAAAATAATGATGTTTCTTGGTCTTACTAGTTTTTTTTTTTCCCCACAAGGATTTGCTTACTGCTCACAAGAGCCCATGGGGCACCTGGGTGGCTCAGTCAGTTAAGCATCCGACTTTGGCTCAGATCATGATCTCACAGTTCATGGGTTCAAGCCCCGTATCAGGCTCTGTGCTGACACCTCAGAGCCTGGAGCCTGCTTCAGGTTCTCTGTCTCCCTCTCTCTCTGCCCCTCCCCCAGTTGTGCTCTCAAAAATAAATAAAAATTTAAAAAACATTTTTAAAAGAGTCCTCAAGCTGTTCTTGGCCCCAGGATGATCAAGATGAGTTACATAGAGTCTCAGAATTATTTTAATATATAGTAAACACAGTTTCAAAAATCTCTATCAGGCAACAAATTGAGAGCACCCATTGGGTCAAAGATGGTGGGCGAGGCACAGGTAGAGGCAGGAGTCATGTGAGGAGTTTCAAATGATGGGCGCAAACATAATTAAAGGATATGGGCAGCCATATAACTGTGCTCAAATTGCTGGCTGTACATTAATTCTGGAATATACTGTCACTAAGTATGCTATTTCTCAAAAGCATCTCACTCCTGGGCATTGGAACAAATACATGGTTCTTTAATATAATGTGTCTGGAAGAATTATTTCATATCCTGTCAGCAACAAAAAAGTAATAATTCTGTGCTTTAAAGAATGAGTTGAAGGTGATACAGTGACAGAAAGATTTAAAAATCTCCACCCAAATGGGTAAACACCGCACACAAAAATTGTCTATTTAGGCAGCAAAATCACTTAGGAACAAGTTGTTGAATTTCGGGTGATGCTGAGAAAAGAACACATTTGCCATATTCTTTGAAATTTGACGACAGAGTTTCATATGCTTTATGGAGCTTAACCCATTTGAATAAAAATGAAATATCTCCAGGCTAGGAAGAATATAGCTGTGGTCTGCTTCTGGTGCCATAGGGTTGCAGCTCAGGTGTAAAAGGTGGAGATTCAAATGGCATCGATTTTTGGTTTATACTTCCTGCTGGTTCAGATGTGGAGGAAAAAACCAAGAGGAGAGAGCACTGACCGGTTTGATTGAGGAAAGAAAGTAAAACTTGAAGTGTTTTCTCCTGGAGATTAGCAGTCACTTCCTTTGTAATCTCTCTCCCTCCCTCCTGGTTTGGTTTGGTTTGTTTCTTTCTTTATCTACATTGAGCAAGTAACTTCCTCAAGGGCAGGATTTATATTTATTTATTTATTTATTTACTTATTTATTTATTTATTTATTTATTTATGTGTTTGGAGGTGGTCAACAATTATTTACTGAAAAAAGATGGCTTATTAAATCCCAGACCTCGGTTTAACCATCCCTTTGCCCTCATACGCGCGCACACACACACACACACACACACACACACACACACCTGACACTTAAACCCCACACAACTGCAACACCAGATTTGCTAAATAGCAGAGGTGATGTCCCCGGTGTCCCCACCCCTGTCACCCTCTGACCATAGCCCTGGGGAGGGCAGGAGCCTAGTGGAAGTACCTAGAGAAATACTTCCGGGTCGGAGACTAAGTCCTGCCCTGCTGCTTCTGAATCTGATTCTGCTTCCTGTACAGACATGCCACCTGGGCACTGGTGACAGAAAAATATGGAACACTTCTCAAATTTGCCTGTCATCCTTACGCAGGGGTGATGCTGGTCTTCTCTTTAATCGGTCCAATTTTAGTATATGTGCTCCCGAAGCCAGCACGAGGGTAGGATTTAAATCACACAGCTTTTGAAAAGAAATATTGACTTAAGTCTGTTTGGTATAGCTTAAAAATGTTGCCCTGCTAGGGGGCACCTGGGTGGCTCAGTCGGTTGAGCGTCTGACTTCAGCTCAGGTCATGATTTCACGGTTTGTGGGTTCGAGCCCCAAGACGGGCTCTGTGCTGACAGCCAGCTCAGAGCCTGGAGCCTGTTTCAGATTCTGTATCTCCCTCTCTCTCTGACCCTCCCCTGCTCATGCTGTCTGTCTTTCTCTCAGAAATAAATAAAAAAAAACATTTTTAAAAAAATGCTGCCCTGCTAGGACTTCAGTGAGAACAGTGTTGAAATATTTTGGAAATACCAGGGGATTACGTTCTGCATAGATTGGGCATCAGTCTAAATTTCATTGTTTTTGACAATGTTTATGCCCCAGAGACTCAAAAGTCTTTTGTCAAAGGGTCTTATATATCTTATTACAAAACCTAATCAGAAACTGGTTATTTGAAAATGGTTTTTAAAAATGTATAATCTTTAACATAATGTAAAAAAATTTTCTTTAGATCTTTCACTGAATATGCTTTAGTTTATTGTTTCATACAAAAAAAATTGATAACTAATCTAAATGTTCTCAGAAGAAGTCTAAATGCTTTTAGCAGGAAAACAAACAAAATGAGTTAGGCTTCAAATTAAAAGGTCAAAAGAAACAGATTTGGTAAAAATATTTATCCACATCAAGTGAGTCATTGTTTCCACTTGGATAAATACATCGAGAATTACTTAAAATAGTTTCTGGGAATTTCATTAATTCTTAATGTCTTATCAACATTCGATTTGCTTAGAGTCGTGCCCTTGACTCGCTTTGGAAAAGCCATGCAGCCTTTTGCAGATTCGGCAACAATTTAGGAAGACTGCCAGAAATATCCCAGCAAGTGCAAGGTCTCTGTCCTCACCACTGTTGTAATTAGACCCACACCCAAGGGGAATTAGAAGCAGAATTAACTTGAGAAGAAGGTTCCAGAAACCTAGGTTCTAATCCCGGTTCTGCACTCCACACACTCAGATGCTCTGTCTAGAGGATTGTGTGGGGTGCTGTGCCTATCTTTAATCACTAGTCTTTTTTTTTGACATTTTATCTTATTATCATTCTTTTATTTATTTTACTATTTTTAAAATTCAAATATAGTTAACATACAGTGTTTATATTAGTTTCAGGTGTAAACTACAGTTATTCAACAATTCTATACGTTATTTAGGGCTCATCATGATAAGTGCACTCTTATTTCCATTATCTATTTCATGCATTATCCCACCTACCTCCCCTCCGGTAGCTATCAGTTTATTCTCTGTATTTAGTCTATTTATTTGTTTTTCTCTTTTTTCTTTTTTTCATTTGTTTTGTTGTTTAAATTCCAAATATGAGTGAAATCATATGGCATTTGTCTTTCTCTCACTGACTTATTTCACTCAGCATAATACCATCTAGGTCCATTCATGCAGTCGCAAATAGGAAAATTTCTTTTTTTTTTTTTCATGGCTGAGTAATTTTCCAGTGTGTGTGTGTGTGTGTGTGTGTGTGTGTGTGTGTACATACACCACTTCCTTTTATCCATTCATCTATCGATGAACACTGGGTTGCTTCCATAGTTTGGCTATTGTAAATAACACTGCAATAAACATAAGGATACATATATCTCTCCAAATTTATTTTCTTTAGGTAAATACCTAGCAGTGGGATTGCTGGATCGTATGGTAACTCTATTTTTAGTTTTTTGAGGAACCTCCGTACTCTTTTCCATACTGGCTGCGCCAGTTCGCATCCCACCAATAGAATCATCAGCATTCTTAAAAGTTCTCACTGCCTTCATGCCCTCACCCTCATTCCTCACTTGATGTTTGTAATCTGGCTGCCTCTGTCTCCACTCTGTTATCAGTTTACTGAAAAGCTGACCATGCTTTCTTTCCTATTCCTCAAAACCAATAGTCTTTACTTGTCCTCAGACTCTGTTTCTATGCAGCATCCTGCACTGGTTGGCAAAACCTCCCTCCCTTCCTCCCAAGACCTCAAGGAAATGATGCCATTTTAGCCATTCTTTAAAGTTTATTTAAGAAGTATTTATTTACTGGGGCACCTGGGTGGCTTAGTTGGTTGAGCCTCCAACTTCGGCTCAGGTCACGATCTCGCGGTTCCTGGGTTTGAGGCCCACATCAGGCTCTGGGCTGACAGCTTGGAGCCTGGAGGCTGCTTCAGATTCTGTGTTTTCCTCTCTCTCTGCCCCTCCCCTGCTCACACTCTGTCTCTCAAAAATGAATACATGTAAAAAAAATTAATAAAAAGGATCTATTTCCCCCTTGCTAGAAAGATGTGGATATTCAGTGCCGGTGTATTTTTTCTTTTTTCTATTCCCAACTTTTGATAGTTAGTAAGCTATCATTTTGTTTATTTCCTTGATTATCTTTGAACATTTATATAATATACTTAAATAAAAACAGAAATAGATAATATACTAATTTTATTACCTTAATAGTGTTCAATGTAGAACCTAATAATGGTCTGGGTTGTATTTTCTTTCCTGTGGCCTATTTGTTATTTCAAAGACAATGTTTCTAAGAATCAAGTCCAATGGGTCCACTTTTATAGCAATCTATTAATTTCAGTTTGTATCATGTTTAAACAATGACTTTTCCAGTTTTCCTTTTCAAATAGTTTCCTATCATCCTTTTTATTAAGAGAAGAGACATTCTTCTACATTCCATTAAAATGTCTATGTCTTTATCCATTCTACCTGTTGCTTAGAATGTGTCCTTTCCTGAGAAAAATAGCTCTGTGGAGTCGCTGACTTCTTGTTTTAATTGGACCTGATCAATTTCTAGTCCAATCGTGAAACTGTCATCCTGGAACTTTTTCCCCTCGGGACATGGGTTAGGACATATTTCAAGTATCTCACATCTACCCGCTTTCTTAGACTTTCATTATATTATGTTAGAAAGTATTCTCAAATAACTTCCTCAGAAAGGATACACTGAAAATGGATTTACTGGTAGCTTTGAAAATGGATTTACTGGTAGTTTGATATTTCATGTCTAAGTGCCCTTCCTTGTCCCTTACACTGGATTGGGATGTAGAATCTTATGTTCCAAATAATTTGCCCTGAGGACAGTGAGGGTGTTGCCCTCCTGTCTTCTGACCTCCAGCATTTCTGCTAAGATGTTTAGTGAGAGTTGTTCTCATTTGTATGTGATTTATTTTTTCCTGAAGTGTTATGAGCTTGCGCTGGTCATTAACGTTTTGAAATGTAACAAAGGTGGGGTGCCTGGGTGGCTCAGTCGGTTAAGCGTCCGATTTTGGCTCAGGTCATGATCTCACAGTTCGTGGGTTCGAGCCCCACATCGGGCTCTGTGCTGACAGCTAGCTCAGAGCCTGAAGCCCTACCTAATTATAACCTCCCAAACCGAGATTTATATCTTGTAATTTTTCTCAATTTTAAAGTTTTTTTTTCATTTGGCTCTATTTTCTGGGAGATTACCATGACTTTATGTTTAATTTCCTAGAGTTCTTTTTTGTTCTCTGTTTAAATTTTATACCATCTTATAATAGCTTCCTGAATTTCTCTAAGAATACTATTAAAATATTCTTTTCTTATTAATAGCTTAAATTATCTTTATTTTATGGAATAAAATAGACTTTAAAAAATACATCAATCACTATTTTATTTTATTTTCCACATTTACCTCGATCTTACTTTCTTCATGTTGGTAGATTTCATCCACCAGTTAGAGATTTCAAGTGGTGATAACTACAGATGGAGAATGGACATTCTTCTAGATATTTGGATTTTACCATTTTATTGGCAGATTTGTTGTCTCTTCAGATCTCTGTTCTTTCAGGACTTTTCATGAATTTGGTGGCAGGGGTGGGTGGGTAGCTAGAAGGTGCAGAGACAAAAGTTTGTGCTTAAGTGCCACCTTGGACTGGAACTTTCCATCAGTCCTTTATCACATGCCCTCTGATATGTTTTCTTTTCATCTCCCCCTCAACTCTGTAGCTCAGTGTGTCTCCCAGACTTATTTCCAGTCTTCTCTTCTGTCCAATTACCCTAAATTTTGTTCAAAGATTAATTCTCCTACAGTGTTGCTTCACTTATAAAAACTTTCTCAAAAACATTATATGGCTTCCTGTTGCATTCATTTATTTTTTAAATGTTTATTTATTATTTTGAGAGAGAGGCAGAGAGAGCAGGGGAGGGGCAGAGGGGGAAGAAGGGAGAGAAAGAATCCCAAGCAGGCTCTGCACTGTCAGTGCAGTCTCATGCACATGACTCAGTCCCAGGAACTGTGAAATCATGACCTGAGCCAAAATCAGAAGTCAGATGCTAACCTGAGTGAGCCACCCAGGGGGCCCTTTGCAGTGGCCTTTAAAGTTAATATCAAACTTCTTACCCCGATTATGGCCATTTGCACCTAAACCTTTACTCAGGTCTTCATTTTCTTCCTTCACATCTCTACCTAGCAAAGCCTCATCTTTTTTGGACATCTGGTCAATATCACTTTCCCAATGACCAATTCTCCATTTAATTTACTATCATACTGAGAGCCTTTTATTGCAGGAACCACCTCCTGTCTGATATTACAACTATATGGCACTCTTTTTTTCTCCCATATTAGAATGAGAGGTATTCAATTTCTCCCACCTTACCTGTGAGGTAAGGGCTTTATTTTGACATCTCTTTTCTCCCCAAAGCACCAAACATGGAGCACAGCACGTATTCCATGAAAATGCATTTTCTTAATAAATATGTGCAGGGATATATCTCTGCATTTTAAAACATCTTTGCCTTTCAGTTTCCTGAAAAATGAGCAAAATACCTCCCCTGTGTTAGTGGTGCCTGCTTTTTGGAAGAAAAAGCAGCTATAGATTTGTCTACAGACCTCCTGCTATTTTTTAGAATCATGTGTTTAGATTCCAGAATGTTATCTTGCTTATCATCCTGTCTTTGTGCAAGG